ATATGGGAGAAAGGTAGAACAAAGCTTACTCTTAAATTGGTATCATCTGCTTTCACGATCCGTTTCTGGTCGGAACTTTTTTCATTTTCTCGGTAAAAGTGAGTTGAAAGCATGGGATACCATTCCGGACCGACACTGTCTACAAGTATCTTGTACCACCAGAACGACGTCATCGTCACACAAAAGTACATTTGTCGTGAAAGGGGTCGCCCCAAAGTACCGGGTGTAACTGAATACGCAGCAGTGTGGTTTGCCTACTCTTTACACCCGTAAGGGGCCATGGCCATGGCTCGGCGCCTGCAAAACTCCGGGTAGGCCACCCCGCCGTACACGCATGCACTGCTTTCAAGATGTTGCCTACCTATAAGGCGCCATGAGAGCTTGCACAGACTGAACTTGGCAATTTCATGACGGCGAATGACGAACGTGCTTTCTGAGTGATCCCAAATATTACGACGAAACTTTTCACAGTGCATCCAATGACTTACCGCGTGCTCGGCCGACAGCTCCGCCTCCTCCGCGCGCTTGGGGAACAGCTCCTTCTTGGGCGAGCCTTGGAGCGAGGCGCACGGCGACGCCGAGGGCGGCGAGCCGATGGTGAAGCTGGCCGTCCTCCTGCACACGGTCGCGTGGGGCGGGTGCGCCCGCCGCGACTCCTCGGCGCCATCCTGGGACTCGGTGGACAGCTGCTTCGGCGTGCCGCCGGGCGTGCTCAGCGGCGTGCCGACGGGCGTGGTGGCCGAGGGCGTTCCCGCGGGCGTACCCACAGGCGTGCCGAGGGGGGACCCGATCGTGAAGGTTGCGCGCTTGGGCGACGCCGTCCTCGACAAGTCGCTCGTCACCTGCGATGAGAGAGGGCACGAGATGCGTAAGCACGGCGCCTGTGATGTGCGCTGTCAGACTGGGCCGGCCTCGAGCCCGCCATTGGGTCGCCCTCTCTGGACCTACCTTGAGCTCCTGGAAGGTGGGCGGGCCACTGGACCCCAGGCTAGAGCCCAGACTAGAGCCCAGGCTGGGCGGCCCGTTCACACCAGAGTCCTCGGACAGGGTGCGGTGCACTTGGAAACCATTCTCCTGGTCGGCCTGGAACAGGCGGCCGCTGCTGATGACGGAGAGGTTGCTCACGCGCTCGTGCAGAGGCTCGTGCAGGGGCTCGTGCAACTCCTCGTCCGAGTTGATGCTGTCGTAGCCCTCCTCGCCGCTCGTGCTGTTGCTCGTGCTCGTGCGCTCGTAGGGCTGCGTCCGCCCCGACGGCTTGCTGCAAGAGGCACACGCCACACACACGGGTTAGCTTGGGGTCCACTCGGGGGTTAGAGGGCACTACGGGGCCTCACACACTCACACCCGGGACTCTCGCCCTCGCCCGACCCGAGACTCACCTGAGGACGTCGGCGTGCTGCTCGCCCAGGCGCGACAGGTGGGGCGGGTCCTCCGCGACCTTCAGCAGGGGGTCTACGGCCTTCATGATGTGATGAGAGCTGGCTGCTGCTCCGCCACCATCTGTCAAACGAAAGGCATCATGAGTTACGCAAAGGTCAATAAAAATGATAATAGTACGAACAGGGAAATAAAAACAAAATGAAATTCAGTCTCGGCTCTTGCGCGGCGCGGCGTGCTCAAAGGTCACGCGACGCGAAAGGAAGGAAAGGTGGCGGCGCGGGGCGTAAAAGGCGCTCGGGCTGGTGGGGCGGGGCGGGGCGGCGCCGCTACGGCTGCGAGCGAGGCGGAATTTATTAGCACTCCCCCGGCGGGGCGGGGCGCCTCACTTTCACCGAAAAAGAAATAAAGGGAGGAACCCCGTCGCTACCATCTTTCATCTTTCATACTACTGCGACACCGAGTGAGTGAGGCCCTCGCAGCGGAAGGTCGCACCAGTGTCTGTGTCCCCGCACGGACCGGAGAGAGTCGCGAGCAGCAGGGAAGGGGCAAGGGGAGGGCGGCGGAGTCGCGATGTTTTCGACTAATTATGATCCAAGGCTGGGGCGGGGAGGAAACGCTACTGTGCTCGACCAGGGCACAACTGCTCGCGTATTACGGGAGAAGAAAAGAGATGTCACCCCCGAGGGGGCCGTGAGAGACGCGGGATGTCGCGATCCCCACACCGACCCTTAACGAGGAAAAAAGGAGGGGAAAAAAGAGAAGAAAAAGAGAAGAAAGTCGACATACTCCACTCGCCCCCCGGAGCATGTATAAGGGTGGCCGAGACGGCCAACAGCGAGAGGACCTCGACCCAGCGTGGCGTTAATTAGGGGAAAATTAAATACACACTCCTCTTTGAAGCGAGAGAGCGAGCTCGGCCCGGTTGTCCGCCCCGCCGCCCGGCTGAGCCTCCTCGTCCGGCCTCTCCTCATGAAGAAAACTTATTCGAAAAGGGCTGAGCTGGGCCGGGGCGCCCAGGCCCAGGCGGGCGCGACCTTGCTCCAACTCGTTATAATACGTTTTCGTAACATTTTCGCCCCGGCCTTAATTATTCACAAAAGTGTTTGCTACAACTAACTATGCCGCCTTTTACTCTAAATTTCTCATTTCACTTTTGCCTTTGGGTGTTTTTGTTGCGGTGCAGCCGCGCTATACCGCTCCTCTTTACCGAGGGCAAGGACGCGGCAGAGGTGGCGGCGGCAGGCAGACGCGCGGCACACCACAGCATCGCCTCGCTTCGCCTGCTCGGTGGCGGAGGCGGCGGCGGCCCTGCTGCAGAGAAGCTGACACCGCGGGCCAGCAGCAGGCGGGGCGAGAGAAGACCCCGCCCGCCGCGCCGGACTTCCCTCCAGGAAGGCGCCCTCTGCACAATAAAAAGTGCTCGACAAAAGTTTACCGAGAAGTGTATGACGGTAGTTGGGCGGCGCGCGGCTGTTGTTGCCCGACCATTCCGCGCACTCGGGGGGCCTCATCTCTCGCGGACGCGACGCTCAACTCGACGCAATTTTCGCTCGTTGAGTCGTATGGGGGCCAGGGCACTATACTGGGCAGGGCCGCGCCGGGGGGCGGGGAGGGGAAGAAGAGAGGAGAAGGCGGCAACCCCTCCTCTGGGCACGACTAAAATTAGCCGACGCTTTACGAGAAGCTTTTGCGCTCTGCACTGCCATGGGCGCGCGCATAAATTATCGGACACGCCGAGCGCTCCCAAAGGACCGGAGCAGGCAGAGAGGAAGGGGGCAGCGGGGCGCGGAGACGACGAGCAGGCAGAGGAGAGGGTCGGGCATATTCACATTCGCATTGTCTGACGGCGACGGGCCGGGGGCGGCAGGCCCGGCCGAGATATTTTATTATTATCTCCCTCTGGCGGCCTGGGCTGCTGCTGCTGCTGGAGGCTGTTGCTCGAGACGCAAAGCCGCCCATGCTTCCCAAAAACGAACGAAGAGAAAGAAGCAGAGGAGCTGAGCTGAGCGGGCGAGAGTCATAAGGAAACGCCGGGGCTCGGCCGGGCCCGCCCCCGAGAGGAAGCGGCCGTGCGGTAATAACGATTGTGATAATAACGCGCCCGATCCTGATCTCCTCGAGGAGCAGGAGCCGCAGCGACGCGTTCGTTTGGTTTTATTGGCGCTGCTCGTGGTGCGTGCGTGTGTGTGTGCGCGAAAGAGCGAATATCCCCACGGCGGAGGTGCCGGTGGTGGTCGCTGCGGCCAGGTTCGGGCCATGTCGCTGACCCCCTCCTTGCTTTGCCGGCGCCGTTGCTGGTTCCGCACCTGGCCTTCGCTGCTGTCGGTCTGCATATAATACGCCGGTGGACGACGTAAACTCCCAGCGCGACGCTTGGGCGGGTGCGGCGGCAGGGCGCGGCGGGGGCGTGGTGAGGCGGGGCGGCGCTGCAGGTGCGTGGACTGCGTGGGAACGCCTAATGTGTCAGGTGCGGGAGGGAGTCGCTGGGGCCGCGAGGGCCAGACTCACGAGACTGCAGTTAGAGGATGTCTGATAACGCATGAGGGGAAAAAACGCTGGCCAGTTTTTACTCCAAACTGAACAACAGAAACTAACGAAACTTTCCATTTTACGGCAGTACCAGGACTAGCTGCTGAAACCACGTATCAGCATAATACAGGTAGAGAAATGAACGCGGCACCACCCAAAACCAAAAGCGGAGACCGACGGAGACAGGAAAAAAGTTCCCGGCGTTATTGATGGCGTTTGAACCCGGCGGCGGTGCAGGACCTCTGAACCCGCCCGGGCGAAACAAATAACAGCCCGGAGTTGGATAAGGCGACCGCAATGAACTTGAGGATGAGGAGGGAGAGAGAGAGAGAGAGAGAGAGAGGGGGGGGGGTCGTGGACGCCGGAGTGAGGCGGCAACCACATCCAAATCCAACGCGCCGAGCGTCCTGATTGGACTCGCCCCGCTCCCTTTGATGTGGGCTGGCGGGGCTGGCGGGGCTGGCGGGGCTGGCGGGGCTGGCGGGGCTGGCGGGGC